ATATATATATATACATCGCTATCCATAAGAAGAGAAGGAGAACAGCCAGAAGAAAGAAAAAGAAAAAGAGAGAGAGTGAGAGAAATCAACAGAAAAAGAAAAAGAAAGGAAGAAAGCGACGACGCAGAAGGTAATATTGGGTGATGAAAAACGTTCTCTCATTTTTTTAAGGAAGATTTATTTACAAGCTTGTGTCGTTTTTCTAAACTCTTCTCTCTATTTATTCTGTAGTTCAAGTTTATTACGTTACTGTAGTTGATTTTGTTCAGTGATTTCATTTCTTACAATACCTTTAGCTCCTTCTAAATTTTATTTCTTTTCACCTACTGATTACATAGTGGAGTAATTAATTGGTACCAAATAATTATGAAGAGAATGTGTAAATTTAACTGATGAAGACTGTTATGAACTGAACCACAGAGTTTGGGTTCAGACGATTATAGGGTAAGGGACGCCTTATCGTGGTTTGAGCTCCTCCACAATAAATCTTTCATATGCAGAAGACCACAAAGTTGAAAAATTATTTAGCTTCAGTTAAATATTACACAATGTATTATTTATTATATTATTTTATTTTATTAAATTATCAGAGAGAATAATATTTTCCGTTAATACTGCTGGAAATGGTTATAGTTAGAAAACCTCAATGTTACTGAGAATTTTCTCACGTGTGTTTGTTTTGTGCTAACCTTTCCAGAAAATCATAATGCCTAGTCTAAGCTTAGCAGGTGAAGGATGGAGTATCAATGTTTACTCTTACGAGGACCGCAGGGAGTTTTATATTGTAGTAGGAAATCAAGGAGCCGCTTTATAATACCCCAAACTTAAGCATTTAATTGATTAAAATATAATACCCCAAACTTAAGCATTTAATTGATTAAATTTAATTAAATAATTAAGCATGTTTTAGTGAGTAAAATTAAGTATAAGACTTAATTAAATGAATCTGAGTCACTTTGGAGTTAAAAAGTGTACTCAGTGAAAATTAAGGAGTATAAATGGGTACTGGCAAAAGTGCCCAAAATATAAAAATAAAATTATAAATATTCCTAGAATAATATTTCAGACTTTTGGATAAAGTTTGGTAATTAATGGAGTTGAATAGATAGATGAACCAATACCCACTTGATTCCACTTAACTAATGTTAAGTGACTTAAAAGAAAAAAAGAACCCAAAACCCTCCCCATTCCCGTCGCCAGAAAGAAGAAGAAGAAGGAGGAGAAGAAGAAGAAGAGGGAGAGAGAGAGAGAACCCTAGAACCTTGAGTTCTTCACCATTTTGGGTGATTCAAAAGCCTAAACTACTCCAAATCTTCCCCTCATCACTAATCCTAGCTTGGTTCTTAGTGGGGAGTGTTGTGTTGTGAGATATCCTCCTCCAAAAATTCGGCCCATTGGAGAAATTGAGGTGTTTGAGAGTTTCTACCTCCATGGAAGCTTGAGGAACGCTCATTCCTCTATTGTGTGATCATTGGTGGTAAGTTTCCACTCTCTTTCACATGATTCTTGGAGATTTGCATGAGTTTAGGGTTAATGAATAGTGTTTTAGGGTTTTTATGAAATGTTGAGTAGATTGGCTATGTTCAAGGAAGAATGAGGCTTAGAGTATGTTGTGAAAAATGCTAGGAATGACATTTAATCGGTAGAAATGAGTTTATAGTGTTATTTTAGTATGCTTTGATGTTTGGATAAATCTAGGCTTGGAACTATGGATTTCCTTGCATTGTTAGCATTGTTTGATTGTATTCCTTGTGTTGATAGGATTGAGGCAAGAGGACCAAGTGGAGTGACCAACCCTTGGGGTTGTGTGCAATTGAGGAAAGCTCAAGAGCAAGGTAAACCTTTGGACCTTGTGGTTGATCCCATTGAGTGTTCCACCATACTCCATTGAGGAGAAATGGTTTATGAGATGTGATATGTAATTATGATTGTAATTGTATGCTCATGCATTGATTCATGCATTGATACATGTTATGATTGATTGATGATTATTGGTTGATGTTTGATTGTTTAAGAGTAATTGAGGAATTATTATAGAAGTAGCAATAATGAATGAGGTAATGGTTGAGGATTGTGATTGAGGTTATGAGTGATAGTATTATGATGAGGATGATTGGTAGGAACTTCCCTTGGAAACAGCCCTATGTGGATCTCCATGTGGTTAGAGCCTAAGAGGAACAGCCCTATGTGAATCCCTCTTGGAGGTTCCTAGATTGAGGAAAGGACTTCCCTTGGAAACAGCCCTAGGTGGATCTCCATGTGGTAAGAGCCTAAGAGAAACAGCCCTTTGAGGATCTCTCTTGGAATAGATTGAGGAAAGGACTTCCCTTGGAAACAGCCCTATGTGGATCTCCATGTGGTAAAAGCCTAAGAGAAACAGCCCATAGTGGATCTCTCTTGGAAGTCCATGTGATGCTTGCTGATAAGAATGTGTTAAGCTATTATGATTATGTGTACATCAAAGTGAACCTTAGGGTGGAGTGATCTCCAAGGACCTCTGGTTTACTGTGATATATTCGTATATCTCACCCCGTGTTGTGGGGCATCATTTCAGGTACTGATAGAGGTGAGGTTGATCGAGGCAAGAAGCATGAGTAGACTGTACCTGATAGCTGGACATGTTGAGTTGCATGCCATTTAGCATTGCTATATGTATATTTTGATGTCATATGATGTATTTTGGAGGACTTAGTGCATGATCATTGTAGTAGTAATGGGTATCTGATACATGGTTACTTGCTTTGATCATGTTCATTTTGTAGCTAAGTCCTTTGGCATGTATATGAGATTTGTAATTAAGACATGATGTAATATTGTAAGTAATGAAGATATTTGTGTATAACGATTACTGTAAGTTAAATGCATGAATGTATTTTTATGTATTGGATATGTTGAGCTGGAAAGTCAATTAGGTACCTTGTGCTAAGTTGGGAAACGTTGAGAAAACAAAGGTTATGCTGCCCAATTTCCGTTAAATCAATGATGAGAGGATGAGAGTTAAGCAATGATATAGGGATATCACAAGCTTGTTAAATAGGTTGTAAAATGTGTAGGATTGATTCCCCAAGAAAGATGCATGAAAAATATGAGTATAGGAAATTGTCCAGAAGAGGGGGCTTAAGCCTGCAAATGGAGGCTTAAGCCTGCTCAGGGGGCTTAAGCGCCCATGAGGGGGCTTAAGCGCCCTGATGCACCTGTGAAGACCAAAAGCTTTCTGCCGCCTGGGGCTTTAGCGCCCAAAATGGGGGCTTAAGCGCCCAGGTAGCGCGCTTAAGCGCCCTGGAGCGCGCTTAAGCTCCCTTGGTGGCTAAAAAATGTAAATTCCCTCTGTCTGTGGGCGCTTAAGCGCCCTGGAGCGCGCTTAAGCGCCCTGCCCGCGTAGTTTTTCAGCATACACCTGAGTTAGCAAAATTGTCATAACTTGAGCTACAGAGCTCCAAATGAGGAGCGGTTTGAAACCACGAGTAGCTAACGAAGAGATCTACAACATAGTAGAAGTTGGGAAATAAATAAGAAGTAAATTAATGGTTTAAAAATGGAATAAGAACATGATGTTAAGCTTGGTTTATCTGATTCCGCAAAGTAATATGGTTATGATCACACAATTGGATATTTTAAATTCGGCGTCGTTTTAAAAAGAAAAATTTATCCGGATTTTTAATTGAGCCAATGTGATTGTAACTGCGCTTAATGTCATAATGCGATGTTAACAAACCGGTTCTAGAACGGGGTGTTACACGCTTCAATATTCGATGCTGATAGCGTGGAGACCTACACCTATAGGCTAGATTAGGATAAGACTTTTGTATTGTATAATTATGTAATGTAAAATATAAACTGAAGTGATGTAATATCTAGTAGACTGTAGGACCTATGTAAAATAACTCCTTTTTGTATCTGACGTAACATTATCTATAAAGTAATGTTGGTAGATGTTTATATAATTTTCTTTACTGTTATTATCATCGATGTGTATTCATTAATAACATTAATTCATTTCCATCTTATTTCTCACTGACTATGCGGAAACGTAAATATAAATGTAAATAAAAGAAATCATGTAATATTCCTTATAAACGTTTGTAGCAAGGGATGTTACAAATAATACCACAAATTTGAAAAAAAAAAGTAATAAAAAAAAAGTAAAAATAAAAGAGAAAAATACATAAGAAAAAAAAATTAAAGTAAAAAATAAAAATAAAAAAACTAAAGAAATAAAGTAATAAAAATAAAGATAAAAGAAGGAACAAAATAAATAAGGAAAAAAAAATAGAGACAAAAAGATATAAAAATTAAGAGAGAAAATAATGATTCAGTTCATGATTTTTTAAATCAATTCGGTTCTTAAACTGGTTTTGAAAACTAGTTCATAAACTAATTCAGTTCATAAATTATGTATAAATAAAAAAAATTCAGTTCATAAAATGATTTTTCAAAAATAATTCAGTTCAAGAACTTATTTTTAAAAAATAATTTTTTTTAAGTGCAATTCAATTTTTTGATTTTTTACACTCCCTTAAATTCAAGTTAGACATAAGGAGATGATGGGGATGAGTTGTGATTTCATTTTACACGCTGCAGGTTGTGTTATGATCTATTAATCGAAGGCAATATCACTTTGATGAGCCATATTAAATTGTTTATAAAGAAAGGGAAAGGATAGAACATTAATCCAAATCAATATCTAATCATTTTTACTGTGAATTGTTTGCCGAATTCATTATTATACTAGAAATTCCTTAACCCACCATCTTTTTTTCCCTAATGCACAATAGACATGAAACACTCTAAACAGGAGTATAATGGATAGAGTAGTTGAGATCAAAACTCAAGTTTAAACTAAACATTCCTCCAATTCCAATGTATTTTTACTTTCCTTAGAACCAAAATTAAATAATTCCATTTACTAATAAGCTTAAGTTAAATGAGTTCTAGAAACATTTACACTACAGAGTACATGCCTTTTTTGGTTCATTCATCACCGCGCTCATCACTCAGCCCTAACTGCTTGGGCCAGCTTCATCATGATTCTTACAACAAAACCCACTGTGATCATGGGGATGTTTATCAGAGTGATGTGGTACGTCATCTTCATCGCTGTCATCTTCATCAAAGGGCTTCTGTTTATGAAAGATGCAGCACTTCTTGGAACTCTTCTTCTGCATGTACTCATTGTCTACTGTGCCCTCTTTCCATGTGACCTTCTTCTTCTTGCGATTGAGGGGGAGGAAAAGGACTTCTGGTTGCTGTTGTTCGTGCTGAGATGAAGAGGATGATGACTCAGAGTTTTCAATTGTTATGGTTGTGGTGGCAGTGATAGAAGGGGAAGATAGGGCTGCTGGCCTGGTGGTGCTCATGCGTCCGTCCATGGTTGGCAAAACAGAACTAGGTTCTTTAACAGTTCAAGTGCTTGGAGAGGCAGAGAGCAAATTTATGGGATCTTGACTGAGTAATTTTCTAGGTTGCTCTGTATCCTGTTTTACTCCCCTTCAATCCGATTTTAAGTAAGAAATCTGAAATAATGTTAGTGCTCAATAACCAACTTATGATTTGACAAACTTATATGATGCTCACATATGTTGTGTACTTTTATTATTATTTTTAAGCGTAATATATATTACCAAACTGCATTTATAAAGAAAAGCATCTTGAGGGGAAACAAGCAAAACACTAAAAATGCAAAAGCAGTTTCTGAATGTCAATTGGAACCTAATAATATGTAAAACAAACTACAATAAATATAAGAACCTAAAAACATAATAGCAACTTATTAAGAAGAATCAGAACTGAACATGCACAAACAACAACTACTCCTGAACGAAAACAAAACACAAACATAAGGCAGCATCATTATTCAGATCCACTAACCAGCAACTCAATAAGATTACTGAAAAAGGAAAGCAAAAGTGGTTAAAGGATCAAGTTTATATCCATCCCAAGGGAACTCCAAATGCACATCCAACTTTTATCCATAAGTACTTTCACATTCATAAAGAGAAATGGGAAAGTATCCAACAGACAGTACCCACTTCAACTACTTAACTTTAAGAACGATCACCTATCACTCAAAGAGAGACTACTTCATATTTGTGGATCATTCATCAAATACAAGCTGAACAAGAAACTGTATTTCCTATTCCTAAATACAATCAAGTTCAACTAAAAAGAAAGCATCTAAGATTAAACACTTAAGAGTCTATTTATCAAAAACCCAAGAATGAAATTAAGGATTACCCAAAGAAAATATCATAGAAAGCAAATTAATGCTACCAAAATAAAATTTAAAAATAAAATAAAATCCTCATACATAAATCAAAGTGTCACAGAACCCAAGGTTTGACATTGACATTAATATAGGACAAACATAATTTATTTGCAGTATTGATATCTAGCTAATGCTTGTAAGCCCTAGGTAAGGTACTCTGCGGTTGTTGTTGTTACTAATATCTAGCCAATCATCTCACAAAGGCCTATATAAGATACTAAAGTAAAAACATACTCTCAGCTTGAATTCAGCCCCCAAAAGACCAAAACTTGCAACACATTTGGCCCAAAAAGAATAAAGTTCAATCTACATATCACAGGCTTGCTTGTTCAGTCCAAATTCACATTTCAGGTCAAATGCATGCTGAACCTTCTTCGAAAATCTAAAGCGTATTCAACTAGAAAATGAATCTATATTGAACCTAAAAAACAATGTCCAGCAATGAAAGCAAATTATTTCTCAAAAAATGAAGCCTGACCAACTCAAGAAAGTAGCCATTTATTTTCTTTAACACATCATTGTTAAGATGATGGAAAAAATAACAAATTCCTCAATGATTTGAAAGATTATCATCTTCACACCTTGGAACAGCAATAAAACATAACCCAAATTAAGCCTATAAACAGATCAAAACAAACAAGCATTAAAAACACAGAATGCACCATCAGACACAAATCTTGTTAAGACACACCCTCTTGTCACATCAAACAACAATCCTCCAAATCCATTCAGCTAAAGAAACCCAAGAAGAAAGTACTTAAAAAAGAGGCCCCCTATCCAAATCTAAACCTAAATTACATTTTCTCCTAACAAGATTTTATCAATATAGCTAATCCAAACTTGAAAGAGGAACAAAAAGCACATATCAAAACCTAAAAATGAAATAAAGCCCTCTTTTTGGCACAAACGATAGGTCACGCATAGAGATCCTAAATCAAAAACCAACTAATAAACACTATTTCCAATCCTCATATTCCATCAACATTCTTGAAAAAAGGACTTTCACAAACAGGTTTCACAAAACCCTTTTCCGAATTGAACCATTTTCAGTACTTTAAAAACTAATTCGAAAAGTCGAATGATGAAATAGGTATGAGGCAGGGGAAAACCTTTGAATCTAGAGGCAGCAAAGATTCAGCGCGAGAAAGAGATGAAGACTGCGAAGCCCGATCCGTGGGCACGAACGATGGCGTTTTGGTCGATGATCGAGGGCAAGAAAAATGGAAGAAGAAGAAATGCAATGTGGAACACTCCGTTTTCAGAAAGGGAAAAAAGAAAGCCCATAAAAGGATTGAGGATTTATTGGAGTTCATTTCCGAGAATAATGGGAAAAGTATTTGAGATTTTAAACGAAGGGTTCGTTTGTCTTAAAAAATATAAGTTATCTCATTTTAAGAGAGAGATAGACACAAGAAATGAAAATAATGGAAGAGAAAGTGAGTGGTTTTTTTTAATTTAAATTTTAAATAAAAAATATTTTCTTGTGTCTATCTCTCTTAAAATAACATAATTTTATGTCATTTAAAATAATAAATATTTTTCTCTTAAATGAATGATGGGCAACATCAAAAAATTTATCACTTTCATAATTAATTTAAGGGAAAACATTTTCGCATATCATAGGAGAATTGTTTTCTCCTATTAGTGACACTTCGATTTTTGTAATATTTTCTTTTATTTTTTTAATAGATATGGGCCCCACATAAGATGTGTCTACAGCATGAGAAAATTTTCTCCTACCGCATAAGAAAATAGAAACCCTTAATTTAATCATCATTGATTTTTGTCATTCTATAATTTATTGGAAGGGAAAAGTGTTTGTCTTTTTAAATGACGCAACTTATATCCTTTCACTCTCACAAAGAGGTGGAACCCACACCTTTATATTTTTTGTCCACTCTCTTCTCATTTATCTATCTTTTTCTCTCACTTAAAATGACATAACTTTATAACCTTTAAAATGACACACGTTTTCCTTTATTGGAAACTATTTGGTTACATTTATTAATTAATTATTAATTTTTCAATAAATTTAATAAATTATAACCGTTAGATTGACGAAAATCAACGGTGATTAAGTTGGTTGTAAAGGTAGTAAACTTTTTTGGTGGTTAACATATCTTGCCCCTTAAATGACATAAAGTTATATCATTTTAAGATAGAGAGATAATGTTTTTTTATTTAAAATGATAGATATTTTTCCAAAATATAAATTAAAAAAAATCGCTTGCTTTCTCTCCCATGATTTTTATTTTTTGTGTCTATCTCTCTCTTAAAATGACATAACTTATGTCCTTTAAAAGGACAAACATCATACCTAAGAATAAATTAAGGTTACATTTGGAATTATAAAAATTAGAAATCATTTGTTTTTGTTTAATTTAAAAATTAAATTTCATATCAAAAATTATATTATGATTAATTCAGTTTAAATAATTTTTAAAAAAAACATATATCTAAATTTATATACAAGTAAAATTGATTTTAATTTATTTTATTTTATTCTAATATATTTCTATAATGTAGAGTTAATATATATATATATATATATAATATTTTATTTATTCAAAATTAAATTATACTAAATTCTATTAATAAATTTTTAATTCAAAACTTTAAAATTCATAATGCTTTTATATTCGTTTCTTATTGTTTAACATCTCAAGAATAATATTTAAGTTATATATGAAATGAAGTCAAATCTCATCTTGTTATATTCCAAACTCATGAAAATAGATTATTACATTTATTATAAAGAAGGCCTTTTGACTTTAGTAGTGTCATATTGATAATGTTTGATCAAACATATTATACATATAATGTATAGCGACAAGGTACTATGAGGATCATTTTAAGACATGATACATATGCAATCGCGTCCTGTGCATTTGTTGCAGACCAATCATATCACTGAAACACGTTACTCTCTCACCTGCGTCTTTTGCTAAAATAATTGCAAATGACGCAGTACTGCACCAACCGCATGTTGACGGAGAAGAAAGAAGTTGTTTAACTGATATATAAGGTATTGAGACAAGGAAGCAGAGAGAGACACAGCGGTTAAAAAGCAATTTTTGGAAACTCTAGGAAATAAAATAAAAAGTTTACTAAAATAAAATAAAGGATTACAAGTCTATGACCAAATACAAATACCCAAATTTGAAGTCTAATAAATGCACCCACCCAAATAATAATTATAAAAAAAAATTTGTGTGATAGTGACCCACCACAGTAAAAACGGTGACATGTCCAAATCCACGCCCACACACATAAGAAGATAGGAAATTTTTTAACGTGTCCAGGATTACCATAATTCTTCCATTAAAATATTGACACTAGGATTAATTTATTTATTTTTCTCTCCTCTCTCTCCTCAACTTTTTCTTCCTTTCTCTTACCACAATCTCACTAAATAATTTCTAGTTCGAGACCACGGAAACTTTGCTCATAAGATAGAAGATAAGCAAGCACATAGTGACATACTTTTTTTTAAAAAAAGGAAAAAAAATTATTAGTGATATACTTTGAGAGTCAACAACAACAAAGACGCAATTTCATATTTCAACTGCAGCAAAGTGCAAAACTTCTCAAGAATTATTTTCTTCTTTCATGGCTTCCTTTCCTCTCTTTTTCTCCTTTCTATGTCTTGTTGCCAAACTCTCTCATGCTCAGTCACCGGTTTCTTTTCTAATCCCAGTCACTAAGGACAATTCAACCCTCCAGTACTTAACAACCCTTTCTTATGGCACCCCTCTCTTACCCACCAAGCTTGTGCTTGATCTTGGAGGTCCTTTCCTCTGGCTTGACTGTGCAAATACAGGTATATGCCCAAATACGGTCCTTTGCAAGAGAGATTGTTTTTGGGATTAAAAAAGGATTAAACAATCTTTCTTCTCCCTCAACACGCAATTGGTGCAGTATCGCATCATTTGCAATTATTTTTACAATGGATGCGGTTGAGAGAGCAACTCGTTTCAGTGATGTGACTGGTCTGAACAAATGTACAGGACGCGGTTACATATGTATCGTGTCTTAAAATGATCCTACTACATCGTTATGCATTATATAAATAATATGCTTGACCAAGAAATT